TTAGTTAATAAATCTCTTAAACTTTTGAAGGAAACTTGTTCTTAAAAATTTTAAAATAAAATTATTATTTTTTATTTTTTTTTAATTCTAATGATTTTATATTATAATGAGCCAATTTCGACCCGAACATGAACAGAAAAATGTAATTCGAGCCAAACAAGAACACAGTGTTCACGAGCCATTTCGCACACGAGCCAATTTCGAACACGAGCTAGTTTCGAACGAGCCGAACACGTGCCAGCCTGAGCCCCCTCAGGCTCGGCCCGTTTACAGCCCTACTCGCTGCAAAGGATATTCAACATCAACCAAATAATACTTACCTGATATATATTGCATGATTAGTATTGAGGGAAAAGTGAATTGTGAAAGTAGCTGAGTCTCAAGCATACATGTGGGAGGATATGAGAAGTTGTACTTATTATTCTGTGTTGCAGTTTTGAAATTTTTGTTGTCATGTGCACTGCCCTCCAAATTGGTCATGCAAAAATTAAACACATGTTGAAGTCACATACGACCATGACATTTTGCGACGAGGACCCGCAACGGACGATGAATGCGATCTTCTCATTATTTGGAACGCGTGCATTAATGTGTGTTTTATCGATTGCTCCAATACAATTCTGAAAATAAAATGATGGGTTCTGTAATAACATTATTTTTTTTAAATAAATGTAATAAAATTGAGACATTACCTTAAAAAATGGCATACACTGTGCATCGTGTGAAATCTCTGTAGGGGTCCGTTCGAAGGTAGGATTTGTTAGTTTTACAACTTGTGAAGAAAAACTTACAAGTGTCTTCAACCCCACTGAGAAGTGTCTACAAATTGTTTCGAATGAGTGTTGAAATCATTCCATTGCTCATCGCATTGATTCATTCTGCGATAATATGTAGAGGGTTATTGTCGACACCTCTCGCGAAGTCATCTTGGAAGAGCCACAAAGTCCATGATTTATGTGTGGTTCCTCCAACTGATAGTTGAATACCTATGTGTCATGCAGAACATATTATTAAATCTCATTGGGTGGCCCGCAAGCAACTCCCAACCCATTTGTTTCCAGCATATGAGGATGTCATGCAAGGAGAGCGATTTATGTACAAAGTTATAATATTTGTACATCAAGCATACGACATATGCAAATCTCATGCACCTTTCTCTAGTTGCATGCATGTAGATCAGTATCGTATTGGCTAACACAGAAGCATCAATAAATTAGTTATAATCATAAAAAGTTACGAAAAATATAATAAACATATAAACATCAATGAATAAGCCATGTTCCAAGCAGTTGAAAAATCCAATGCAAAGTGACAAATAATACACGACGAAAAATGTCAGGTGATTTTAAATAAAAAGTCTCTAAAATATTCTTGTAATTTAAAAAATATAGTGGTTGCGCCACCCTACGGTCATCGGGCATCTTGACGAAAAAATCTCTAGGGGTCAGATCTTCAAGGAACTCTGTTGAAAACATGTACAACGGCAACCCAGAAATTTTCCTAGTTGCATTCAGAATTTGTGGGACCTGATCGACAGAAATTGCTTGAGATGTGTGGAGTTCAGCGCTGCATGAAGTCACCAGCTGTGACATCTTGCATCTAAGAAAAGAAGCTCCAACTTTCTTCTTATTCTTAACCCATGGACGCTTAGAACAATAGGTGAACTCAAATTCATGGAGGTCTAAGCCGGGGAGTTCGATGAAATCACCCGATTGGTCGTCTCCCAAAGTTTCAAGGGTGCCACCAAATCTGTCTCACTAGAGGACACGTGCATTGTTGCTTGTAGCCACAACACCACTAAACAAACAATTCAACTTCTCTTTAACTCAAGATCGATTCTACTGAATTTTTTTTTTTTCAGCAGACACCCCTACAAATTCATATGACATCTACTTCAATTTAAAAACAAAATGAAATTAACCAAATTAGAGGATATGTCAAAAATGCTTACTGCTAGTCTTTTTGGGCACCACTCCTAAGAAGCATCAATCGTTAACTTCACCAGATCTCACCCAAGGCTCGTTGATCATTGTTACAATTCCTTCCAAATTTTTCAATCTTCCTTGAGCTAATCCCACATGTTTTTTAATTGCAACCTATCGTACTGCTTATACTTTCCTTGAATTTTCTGGTAATATTTTGTCTCCCTTTCCTTGTTGAAATAAGTTGTATGTTTATTTTTCAGATCGATCTCTTTGAGGTAAAAAGTGATAAAATATTATTTTTGTTTCATTGTCCCGCATTAATAGTGAACCGGCCTCTTTGGTCTTAACCATTGTATTACTATGATGAGAAAAACATATTAATATAAATAAGAATGCAACAATATACGCACATGCACCCACCAAGTCACCACACACTCCACCACACCTCCACACACCCAACTACATCACAACAACACATCCACACACCACACCACTACACACACCACCACACAACCCACCACAATACAACACAATCACACACACCACCATACCACTCCACACCAGCACATCCACACACCACACACCACACACCACACACCACACACCACACACCACACACCACACCATTACACAAACCACGAGATCTCGACACACTCTACCACCACACCTCACACACCACACCACACATCCACACACACACCATTACACATCCACGCATACCACACCTCCCTAAACCCTCCACACACCCAACCACAATAGCACATCCACACACCATAACACACCACAACACCACACATTAACAGTCTAACCACAAACTCCACAGCACCACACCACACACCATCACACACACCACAACAACACATCCACACACAACACTACCACACCTCCATAAACCCTCCACACACCCAACCACAATAGCACATCCACACACCATACCACCATACCACCACACCACACATTAGTAGCCTAACCACAACACCACGACACACCACAACTCATAATTCATCAGTTAGTGTTGTAATTCATTAAATAAAAAAAACTTAATGTTCTCAGCAAAACTACAATTGTGAATATTATTGAAACAATATTTATCACCATACAAGATAACCTCTATTTTATAGAACGGTTCCTTTAAACCTAATTATGAAGATTCCTAACAATATTCTATTCTAGATAACAGAAAGAAGATTGACATTTTTATATTTGGCATAAACATTATGCCTTAAGGTTCTCAGCATTTGTTGGGCTATGTTTAATGAATGGCTTCAAAACAATTAATATACTTTTCTTTTGCAATATACACATTCTAATAATATGCAATTTTAGCTACTCTAGGCAAAGTACCATTTATTTTTTGAATACAACTTCAATTTGGATATACTTGCTTATTGCTTACCCATCGCCTCTTCCATTCATTTTAAGAATATTTTCAACTTCACTTCTATTTTAACGATATGAAAAAAGCAACTTCTGCAATTAAAAACTATTATAATATTATGATTTGAACAAATACATATAGACGACAACAAACCACCACACCACAGCACCACGGCACACCACAACACCACAGCAGGCCTCCTCTCATGCTTAAAATTCTTCAAATCCAACACCAAATTTCAACTCAAAAACAAAACCATTCACATATGTCAGCAGGCCTCCTAACAAGATTGTAGCTGATCATAACACTTCATTCCAACTCAAAAACAAATCCAACACCTACTCGTCTTCTCAAATTTTAAAACAGTAGCCAAAACTCCACCAAATCAAAAACAAAACTATTCACAGATGCAAACCCAACCACAAAAACAACACCCAAAAACAAATCCAAACCCCACCATACCAATAACAAAACCATTCACAGATGCAAAAAACTGAAACAGCAGCCCAAACTAAATCCCCCATCAGGCCTCCTCTACTTAAATTCTCACTCAAATATCAAATTACAACTCAAAACCATCACCAAATTCCAACTAAAACATCAAAATCGATGCATCAGCGGTCGAAACCGCCCTAATTATGAATGTAAAAAATCTCAAAAACGCAGAAAATTTCAAAAAAAATGAGTGCTACGCAAAAAACAAAAGAATCCCATCAAGCAAATTCACGAAGAAACTCTATACAAACCAATGCAGGTAACAAAGCAAATACACCTAAGTGATAGAGGATACCGGAAGAAGAAGCAAACGTCTGGAAACTTCCTCACAAGTGTCGGGGAACGAAGTTAAGGAAGAAGAGCAAATACGGGGCGAGGATGAGTGGGGCATAGGAGAAAATGCGAGAGCTCTGGAGCGGATTAAGGCAAAAAACGCGAAGCCAGGGTAGAGCAATACACAAGGTCGGGGTAGAACCATACGTGAAGCCGAGGGCACCTCAGTAAAAATAACGAGAAGAAAAGAGGGCCGTGAGGTAGAACACGCGGCCCGCATTTAACCGAAAACGTGACGTGTTGTAGCTCGCCCCACCCCACTGCACCGCGGCTCGGATGCACCCCTAAACGGACCCTAAGAGACATCTAAACTTTAAATATCTTCAATGTGTAGAAAATTTAACATCAAGTTTCACCAAATTAAACAAAGAGACTACAACTTAATACTCAAACCCAAAATAGCCAAATCAAAATAACATTAGATGCAAAACATATACAAAGAAAACTATAATGACAAACTTATTTTTGTAATAGAACAACACCATAGATAACCATCCTAAATATTAACAATAAAAGACTAATGCAAAATAAGCCTTCCGGCCCAAAAGGTTAAGTATAAGTACAAAGTTTGACAATTCATGAAGAAAAGAGTGGATACATATCATTTACACGTTATATTTAATGTAAATAATAGTAAAATACTAAAATGTAACTTAAACAAGCATCATGATCGATGATGATCAAGCAATTAGTCATCACAGCCAAGGCTATGAAAAATGTTGATGACAAGCAAAAGCTTTCGGAAGAATTGGAATATTACAAGGTCAATTTAATTTCAAATACTCATATAGGTTATCAAAGTACCCCCGAGATATATAAAGCATTCGAACATAGCATAAAACCATTGCAAGCTTGCCAAGTAAACTCACCAAGAATATTTGGGATGTAAATATACACAGATGTTCTCTTTTCAGTAGTTGTATGAGCCATCAAAGCTTCTTAAAAAAAATCACCTTCCAAAAGAATTTGATCTTCCACCAACCTATAATTTTCAACATTCTTGCATGTTAAAAGCCAATACAAAAGAAAATAGAAAAACCGAAAGAAAAAATTTTAAGATTCTACATTATAAACTCCTAAAATAATATAAATAGATGAATCGAGTAGATTTGCATAATCACTTGACAAAACAAGAAAAATGTGCTAGCGCACAACCCGGACGTAAGAGAAAAAGAAAAGATTTAAATATAGTCAATGTCATTAAAATAATAATTACTTGCTAATTGAAAAAACACAGATAACAAGCATTTAACTCAGAGAGTAACTGATTTATACATAATAATAACGAAGTTCCAAGTGAAATTTAACTTTCATCAATCCTATACATGCAGAAACAAGAGGTACAAAAGCAACACGTACACAATCCATGCCGGACAGAGAAAGCAATAATCTAAAATCAAATACATTGAAGGGACACTTGATAATCGCAATTCTAAGAATATAACAACCATGATGGCGATGGGGAATAGACAAAACATGTTCAAACAGAAAAGGCCAAAAAAGAGAGAAAGAAAATAAAAAGGATGTCAACGCACCAAAAAAAAAAGAAAAAAAAAAAATATACATGTTCCACAACTTAATGGCTACATTCGGTTGCGGCTACTAGACAACTTCGAAGGAAAACCTAGGTCGACCTGTGTAGCGCATTTACTTCCGTAGGCGACAGCTAAGGTTCCTCAGCTTAACAGTTAGGTTAAGTGAAAGCTACAAGTTCCGGTGCCTTTGTAGAGGCTGTTCGGTAGCAGTATTCGAGCAGACAGGAGCTCAAATCCGTTTTTCCTTGAATTTGGATTCAGTAAATCCCGTTGGATGGCAATTTTACGGAATTAATTGGTGTATAAACGGGGCTGGGAGTAAGGGAGAGAAAGACGAGGGTTACCTTCCTCAATGGATTCGGTTTTCGGTTAGGAGCAGAGCGAAGGCGGATAAAGAGTGGAGTTTCGAATGTCTTCGCAGACCGCGATGCGATCCCCTCGTTGCCGAGCTACAATGGCGACTTCACCGCTGCGACTATAAAATGGATGGGGTTTCGGGCCCGAGAGAGGGGATGGGAAAGTATAGGCGATATTTTCGCGCAGGGTGTAAACCAGTAGAGATTGCTCGAGTAGTGTAAACGAGTCTCACATAGTTTGAATTTGAACCATATTTAGGTCAAATTTGATTTTATGAGTTTCGATTGGCTCCAGAGTTAACTTATTTATTATTAAAAAAATATTAATAAAATAATAACTATAATAAATAATATTGTGTGCCAGAAGATTTATGATGTTAGAGTGATAATTTAATTAAGATTCATCACACAAAAATAAAAGGAAAATAGTAGAAGAATATACCACAATTTCTTAAGTGAAAAAATTTTGAAAAGAGAAAAATCACGAGATCTAGTCGTCTAGCTTAATCAAAATAATGAGTACATAGGCTCACTCTCCTCTTGAATTAGATAAGATGAAAATACAATATTGACAATAGCATATGTATCCAGTAATTCAATTGTGATAGTTGTAATGTAACTACAAGTAATGAAATTCTTAGCACGATGGTGATATTAGGACAAAAAGGTTATACTTGATTGCTACAAGGGCAATAGTCTACCACAAATGATGTTGGTGGTTATTGTAATAGTATTAATTTGTCATAGAGATTATAGTAGTTGGTTATATAGATCGTACAGGGGAGCTACAATAGAGTTAGTTCGCCACAAAAGCCCTAGTTAGAAGTTGTAGTGGCAATTAGCCACATAGGACATAGTTAGTCACATAAGGCATAGTGATGAGTTGTGGCAGCGTCAGTTGATCGCAAAAATCATAGTTGAAGGTTGCAATAGTCGTAAGTGACATGTCTATAAATGTGTTATTTTTATATATACATTTTAAGCTCATTTTTAATTATATTGCATATTAATGGAAGATATTTTTCATATTTTTTTGTTTCAAGTACAAGAGATGAACTTTTAGAGAAAAGGGAGCGAAGTCGGAGTAAAACGAGGTTAATTGGAGTAAGGTAGCATAAAATGAATTGGCGCCTCAGCGCCAGACTCTGTATGTGGAAACTGAGAGCCCGACGTCATGTCGTCAGTATCTGGCACTTAGGTGTCAGAAAGTTATACTGAGCTTCTAGAATGTTGGCGCCTAGGGGCAAGAGTTGAGTGTTTAGATGCTGGAATCAGTTCTTAATTTTATGTATTTAATTTGGACGAATTTTGAAGAGGCATCGAAGGCGACTCTTGGGAATTTTGAGAGTTACTTAAAAAGGATTCAAGAGGCATCCAAGAGGTGTGTGAAGGGGGGTCAGTGTGAAGAAGAGGCTTTTACGATGGTGTGAGGGATAGCTTTTGGTGTGTGTGTGTGTGTGTGTGTGTGTGTGTGTGTGTGTGTGTGTGTGTGTGTGTGTGTGTGTGTGTGTGTGTGTGTGTGTGTGTGTGTGTGTGTGTGTGTGTGTGTGTTGGAGTAAAATTGTAAGGGAGTTGAGAAATCACCAAAGAAACTTCAAAGGATTTGCTTGAGGAGAAGTTTAAAATAAGCTCTTTGTATTTTTATTTGAATTTTGTTTATTGTGTGAACATAAATTTTAATATAAATCATGTTTTGTTGTGTTAGTCCCATGAGATCTGAGTTGTTTTCTTTATATTTTTCCTTGCAATAAGAATTAATCATGTGTAGGGTTATAATTTTTTAAGATTTCTCTTATTTCATACTTGTGATGATTCATTACTTCGTACTTAATTTACATAACCAATCTGGTCAATTTGTATGTTAAAACTTATTGTGAAGCCATAACGACCTGGAAGGGCTATGTATTCCTCAACTAGTAATAATCATATTAATCTAATGGGTGATACGATAGTCTATTGGTTAGTGCAAATAAATAGGGAGATAAGTTTTGATGGGTGTAAATTGGTGATTCTAGGGTGACAAGTTAGGCCTTAACCAATTTAATCTAGAGTTCTGAATTTAAGGATCAGTTAGTCCTAAATAGATGGCTCAGTGGGTAATCTAGAGTGACAGGCAACGTGCCCCTAATGTTTGTTGTTTTTCCCCGTGTTTTATGTTAATTTAAATCCCCGATACAGTGTCAAAAACTTGACCTGTCCCGAAATTACGCAGTAATTTAGTTTTCAAAAATATGGCCAATAACTTGACCCAATTTATATTAAATAATTAATGTGCAAATTTGAATTTTTATATAAAATATATAAAAAAAGTTCACCACTAGTGGTTCTACGCAAGTGCACGTATCGCTTCAAGTAATATAGAGCTTTATTTAAAAACCTCATTATCGATCCCACAGAGAAGTGCAGTAAGAAATCCTTTAGGCTAATTCTAGTCTACTACTATGAATTCTTAATATGGAAGATGGAAATTCTTATGATAATAACATAAATCACAATATTCAAACTATTAAAATTGAAGTAAGAAAGACTAATTAAAATGAGTTTAATGAATGTTAATAGAAATGTAAAAAGAACTAAGTTTACTGAACTTCAAAATTAAATTTACTAAGACTAAACAGAGTTTTGTGTCAAAGAGTTCAAATTTAAGAAAGCATCCTTCCCCTTTATAATAAGTATATCGATTGTGAACAAATTAAAATCATTAAAAAATATATAAAATTATTTTGTGTCAAATATGAGCAATCTTATTCTTTACCTTTCTCATAATGTTGTAAAAAATGTTGATTAATCCAGAGTTTGGTCCCTAATTTCGTGGTTATGCTGGGAGGATACCGATAGCCACTTCAGAGCTCCCACTACTTCCTCACCTGAGGGCTAACAATCTCGCATCACTATCCAATCAACTAGACCAAATTGGCGATTTTAATCTATCAACTTAATATCTCCAATTATACATCCAATAAAGTATATTTCCTTATTTATTTGTACTCAATTCCATGGATGATATACTCTCCCATGAAATCAAAAGTGATTTTCCTCATGTTGTAGAAATCATAGCCTTTCGGAACATATGTTTCTCAACACATTTTAACATTTCAATTGATCAGATTTAAAAGTAAATGAAGATCGGAGTTCGAATTATCACAAATTATTGACACTTAAAACTGTATAGAATAAAATCAATTCTTCACAAAATCATATCTCAAAGTAGGGAGAAGGATAAAGAAGACTACTCAGAATTCATATGAATAATATGACGAAACATGAATTTCATATACAAAAACAAGTTTATAAAATAAACAAAGAAAAGAACATAACTTATCTCACAATCATTCCCAAGCAAATCTTTAGAAGTTCTCTTCAAGAAGTTCCCCTCTTTATAAGTACTCTCATTCTCTCCTAGAAATGCAATGAAGAAGAAATATGTCACCTTCCCTCTCCTTTTACAATCTTTGAAGAAAATCTCCAAGCCCTTACTCTCACTCTCATGCCACACACACACACACACACACACACACACACACACAACACTCACGCCCACACAACTCTTCTTCAAGCCCTATACTTCCCTCACTTTTATAAAAGACTGCCTCCCTCAAAAAAGAATTCAAAGTTGCCTCCAAAGTTCTAACCAAGAGTCATCTCTTTTAAATTCAAAATACATGTACATTAATCCAAGAGACATCCCTTCATAAAAGAACCTTCCAAAGTGTCTAGATGCATTGAATCACTCCAAGGGGTGTTTAGAACAAGTGTCCCTTTGAAAATTCGCCCAAAATTTGTCTCGAATCTCCTTAATCCGCCAAAAGTCATCTTTGGCGCATCACGCGCCAGTTTTGGCTCATCATGCGTCAGTTCTCTAGTTTTTTGTGCATTATGCGCCGGTTTAGCGCATCATGCAGCAGCTCCACTATTTTGCTCAGTTTTGCCCTGTTTCAGTTGTATTTTGCTCTTAACAGATATACCTACAAAATAAGCATGAAAACAACTTTTCTTTAAAGCATAATTTCATTCAAAAACATATGAGAAATGTAAAGTAGATTAAGCATAGAATGACATATCGAAATATTCCAAATCAGAATTTTCTGTCTTGCTCGTTTTTACTCCAAATTGCACTAGTTTTGCTTCATTTTTTTCTAGAAGTTCATTTCTTGTACCTGAAACTAAAAATATGCAAAATATCTTCCTTTAAAGAGTAATATCATTTAAAATCATTAAAATTGGGCATAAATATTTATGAAAAAGTAGATAATTTTTAGGCATGTTAACTCCCCCAAACTTAAATCTTACTTGTCCTCAAGTAACCCTTTCACTATGTAAAAATATGACTTAGGAAAGAGATTAACTTATAAAATTATATACTTTAGTTTAATAAATAAAATAGTAAAATTTAAGAAAAATGTTTATTAACTTAGATTTAAACTCTAAGTTTAAGAGTACTTAGTAATCAAATTTAAGATTTTTGAATCTTTATTCATTTCAAGAAGAATTGCAATTTGTCATATAAATGATACTTAAAACATTCATATGAAAAAGAACTTCATGAAAACTTTACTGGTAATGCTACTAATACTCCAATACCAGCCCTTCATTTGACCCTTGTATGGATCATTTGGCGAAGGTGCTAAAAAATTATGAAGAGACTAACGTTATTCTAAATTTAGAGAAATGTTAATTTATGGTCCCAGGAGGAAATGTTTTAAGACAAAAAAAATATCTTAAAAATGCATAGAAGTAGACCCAGCAAAAGTACAAATTGTTAAAAAACTATCACCACCCACTAATGTGAGAGGAGTTTGAAGTTTTCTTGGATATGCTGGATTTTGTAGATAATACATAAAAGATTTTTCTAAAATTACCAAACCGATATTCTGTCTCTTGGAAAAAAGATGTCATATTCAAATTTGATCAAGAATACTTAAAAGCCTTTAACACTATGAAAGAGAAGTTAGCCACTGCTCTTATGATTGTCTCACCATTTTGAGGGGGATCATTTGCATTAATGTGTGACACAGGTGACTATGCTATCGAAGCAGTTTTAGGAATACAAGATGATAAGGTATTTAAGGCTTTATACTATGCCAGCAAGGCTCATAATTAAGCTTAAATAAATTAAGCTAGTACTAAGAAGGAGTTTTTCATGATAAAATATGCTTTTGATAAATTTAGATTTTATTTGACTGGAACTAAATGCACTATTTACACATACCATTTTGATATTCAATAT